CCCCCCTCCCACTCAGGTGATAAATAATGACCAGTCTCTAAATGAAGTTAACACCTGTTATGTGGTTGAAATATTCCGGATTTTTAAACGAGTATTCACTATTATTATTTAGACCCATTTCAGAATTCAGTTCAAGAGGGTTTTTCGCGAAATACATCGACATACACAGACACTTAGTTAGATGTTCATTATATGGCAAATCCTAGAGCCATACAACTGTTTTTATCGAACGTTTTGGATCTTTTAACACTTACATCAATTACAAGAGTGACAATTATTTTCAATATTTCAGTTATTTTCACTGCGGTTGTTCTAATATCCTTCGCGTTACCGAATCGTGTTGAAGATTTAAGACCGTAAAAAATTTTTGCTCACCGTTGTTTTAGGTCTTTTAAAACCGAGCTTGATATATGTTGCTTTTCAAAAAATAGCCTTACAAGGAACTATGCTTTCTCACTGTTTTCAATGCACGTAAAACAGCGTGGTCACACCAAACAAAGAAAGTTTTGAACAGTGAAATACTAATCAAGAAATTGCGGAGAAGCCTCTTATTTATCTCATTTATGGTCATTTTTGATTCATATCACTGTTAAAAAGTTGTGCCTCTTAGCAGAAGTTGCGATAAAAATGGCAAAATAAACGAATGATGTCGGCAGATGTTCCATGCGAAGTACACCAGAGCTCATGTAGTAATGCTGTATTTATGATAGCGTGTCCATCTACGGTAATAACCCATCCAGAGGCTTCAAACTGGTCACGGAACATAAGTGATACCCTAACGTACACCACGCCTAATTTTAGCGATGGAAAGACTATTCATTTAAGTTATATAAAGCCAAATTTACAACGTTTTGATTCCCGTCTTTAAATCGCGTCAATTTTTGCCTTCGATATCAAAACTAATTTATTTCACTCATAGAAAAATTCTGCCTGGATCTGTTCCCCTAAAACATTGCATCCCTTTAAAATACGTCATGGATGACTTTCTTACGCTCATTGAAATAAATCTTACCTTGATTTTTCTCGAAGAGAAACGAAAAAATAAAAGCTTGACTTCGTAGATTCAGCCAGCCTTTGATGAGTTGTAACAATAAGAGAACAGATGCAAGCACGAGGTCATGGCCGAAACAAAAGCGTCGATCTTCTGAGGTGTGTTTTTGTTTTGATTATCACATGATGCACACTTGCGCTCTCTGATCTGACGAGGTAGTTACGGGATTGGATGTATTACTGAAACGTCGGATATAGTTAATGCCTGTTTTATCTCTCAGTACAGCATCCAAGTTTGCTAGCGCACACACAACATTGTAGTTTGAAGGCACCCTAATAAAAAACTATACTGTAGCTGAGTGCTGATGAATTAATTTTTCACTAGTCTTGTTTAACATAATTAAGTTGGTGTTACATTCAATGACCCGTACAGTCGGGAGGAGCTTGCGTAACGTTGCTATCTGCTATCACAGAAACTCTGTTCTTCACCTGTACTCCTTTCGATTACCTTTCTGTTTTTTATTGATCAGATTAAAATCATCTTTTTCTGCAAAAATTGGAAACACGTTAATTTTGGTCTGAACGCGTCAGGTTTCGGAATGAAATAGAACAGTCTACATTGTGAGAAGGGAGGGCATACACCAGCGGAGATCTTGTATAAGGAACCGGAGCATGGCGCCCTAGATTATTCATTATCTGTTTTTCATCGTTACTTCTTTTGATCGAAGTTTCAGTTTAGAGCTTCAATCTTACTTTTCAAACTTCTGAAAGGAAGTGAGTTCAGCCGTTTGTATTCCTCACAACTTCCGTTTTACAAAGAATACCAAAAGCAGATCAACCGGAAGTGAAATGGACTGGATGTTTTTAACTGTAAATTTTATCAAATTTGAATTGACCTGACAGTAGCGCTGTTAAAGAATGCATGGGCTCTGTCACGCTATCTTTGAATTTCTTTACCTCCTGGCTTGAGCCCTTTACCGAAAACCTCTTTGCACAGCGTAACTTGATCGCGATATATTTGTCAGTCCCTACGCATGAGGCGACCACAGGAGCGGCTGCTGTGTCCATAACTACCCCTTAAAAACGGCAAAACAATTTTTTTACGCTTAGTACCCCATGCTTTGTGGCGAAGGAAAAGACTTTTGTCTGAAATTTTGAGCATCCATAGCATTTCTAGTCGCAGAAGCAGTTTTCTAAAACAGAATCCAGAGTAACAGAGGCGGCGGAGCGATTTGAAATGTGTGTGGGAGTTGGGGAAGGGGGCTCATCTCGTATGCAAGACTAAGTGCATACCTTTACTCAAACTTTCGAAGAAAATTTTCTAGACTTCCGCTTCTTCAACACAAGCAAAGGAAGAAATGGGACCGACGCACTCTTAATTTCCGGTGTGCCCAGTCCGCACAGCATTACGGTATCCTTCTTCCCCTAAGACGTTGCAATTGGAAAAAAATGGACCGAAATTGAAAACGACAAGGCTCAGAGACCAAGAAATTCATGACTCTGGTAATGTTCCCTTTAAAAGATTAAGGATATGCTGATTACGCTAGCAGTGCAATAGCAATGGGCTCCTGGCCACATTTATGTAAGGTGCCAACATTATGCTCGTTTTTCCAATTTATACCAAACATTATGCTACTACCGAATCTATAAGGGCATATTATGGGATCAATCCTCGTTTATCTCTATAGCATTGTGATGATGTTATTATTTTGTTCATTCTAACAGACCAACGGTGTAGCATGGGTTTTTCATAGGAGGGTATAACACTGTATTACATTCAAGGGTCCAGCCTTCCATGCCCTATTTTACTGAGAGTGACTTATTGGTGGATGAGTTCTGAGTAATTCATGTTGTGTAGACGCTTCCGATTTGTGCTTTATTGCTGCCGGAACTAGACGGTTTTTATTCATTAGGCTAAGATAAATCAGCTCAACCGG